ATAACAATTAATTGTTTTGTCCGTTAGCCATAGAATTCGGGCCCTTACATATTTCATCTTGTACTTATTCGTCGGTTAATAAACTCATTTTCATAAGTATCCTACAGCCAATACTTTAAGGATATGATAGTCGGTCAAATATACACCGTATCAATAATGGCAGCAAATTTGGTAATACCCTCATATTTGTACCGAAACTTTCCAATGATATTTCAAATTGATGTTAACGCTACAGCAATTAAGGCCGTAATTATTGTGTATAGAACCGTTGACACTATGTAACCACAGGCCGATGAAGATCTTACAAATTTTCCTTCTTCCTTTCCGGGAAATTCAGCAGTAGGCCTGACTGTCGCCGAATTACATTGTTCTAAACAATTACGTAAATTTGCATTTTTTTGATGATACGTTTCTGGAAGAAAGATTATTGACGGTTATTGGAAACATGTTATACCTGCTGTACATGTTTTAGTTAGTTTTATTAGTTTGTCTACGCTGTCTATATTACACTAAGTGATGGCTTAAACTATAGGTATTTATATTGTTGGATATTATTTATTTGTATTATATTATATTGTAAATCGAAGTTTGAGTATGGTGATAAGACTTGTCATTGCAAGGGACTCAAGCTGCTGCTACTTCCTACCTAACCTAAACTATAATTATATTTTGTGTTATATGTGCGTTACTGTCTTATTAAATTCTTCAAAATATTACGATCAAAATACATTGTTCGATGGCAAACAAAAGAAATGTTTTCATTCCGTCTTGTTTCAAAAATAGTAGCCACCTCGATTTGCTTGCTACCTGCTAAATTTTGATTTTAGCATTGCGATCTTTAGTCTATGGAAAGTATAGGCCCACGTATTCTAGTTATTCTATATTGAGTTTAGGACAGTAGATTAGATTCAGTGTTAAAGCATAGAAACACAACTAAATGACCTAAAAAAATCATAAATAATTCCTCCTCTTTCTTTTGCTTCTATTATTTTTTAACCAATGTAAAACAACATTGACTCGACTTACCATTTTGGCAAAATTCTTCACGTTTAACTGAAAAGAGAAGGATAAACAAGTTACATTTTTCTTGAGTTTTCCAACCAACCAATCAACATACTAATAAATGGACGGAATAACAAATGAAAGAATGAAAGAATGAATAAATAAACGAACAATCAACATAGCGAACGTGCGGGCGAAGAGACGGAAGGATGGATGAGTAGATGAAGGAAATAATGAATGGAATAATGTATGGATGGATGGATGGATTGGTGGATGAAAATTTATAAATGAAAGAATTAATTAATTAATTAATCAACGAATGTATGAATGAATGAATATAAACGAATGATGAATGATAATAATAGAGAAATTAATAGATAAATCAATCAATCAATTACTGCTTTCTGATGATTGAAAATCTAGTCATAAATTGAAATTTATCGCATCTTACCGTCTGACTGAGTAAAATTGCAATCTACTTCCAGTTTTTTGCAACCTCTCCGAGATTGTTTTGTTTCATTCCATTGGCAATCTTCGATATTCGTATTTTTACACTCCAAAAACTCCCAACTTACGGAAGAAGAACTCGGGCTGAAACAAAATGTAATTAACTGTAATATTGTACCTTATATCACTATATCATTATCATCGTTATCTTAATTATAATTATCATTAACATCATCGTCAATAACAAAAGCTACAGCAATAACAACAATTTTGAAATAAGACTTAAAAGTGTTTTTTTTCTCTCAGATAATACAGAATTCCCATATTTCCAAAATGATATAAAAATGCACAAAATATGTTTGACTTACTGTAAATGATAACGATATTGTGTTAAGCCTTCATTTATACAGATAGCCTCACTTGTAACTGACAAATAGGTATTCTTGTACATATACGAGTAACGAAACTTTCCTTTTATATATGTCTTCACAAACCCTTTCGTTATACATTCTGTTGGCCATGTGTCATTTTCGAACACAGTCGTGTTCTCTATTTTAAAAGATACAAAATACTATGAAAATTACCTTACTCCAGTCTGCCTTTTTTCTGATTTATTTTTAAAGTTTGTTAATCCTTTCTGTACATAACTCGGAAAGTTCTGGATGGAACAGTGCTTTGGGAACTAAGTCCCTTAAAAAATTCACTCTGTGGTGAGGAAAACCTCTACAATGCCAAGATTTGAACCCAAGACCCTGGGAATAGGAGGCAGCCAACTTGACCACCAAGTTATGTAACTCTACTAAAGTGAATGAAACAAGAGCCAATGTAATAATAATTTCGAATCCGAATTCATCTTGTCTTGCCTGTTTGTAATGTAATCATTCCAAACTCACCATCCTTGATTGGCCATGATACAGCGCGTAACTTTATTTACATCTACACACGCGCGCTAAATAGTCGTTAATAATATATCATGACGTCATATGTAGGATATGCTTACTTTATTTCTTTTATATACAGATTTAAAAAAATTACCTTTAAAGCACCGAAGGACAATACTAGCTTTCCGAAAGCAATTCGCGCAGGAATTCTCATAACCGATTGGCTGAATTTTACATGATATGTTCGTCGTAGGGCAATACATTGATGCTATTGGTCCCATAGCGTCTCCATAGCTAAACAAATGAAACCATGCAAAACATGTTTTTAGGTGTTTTTTACATTCGCCACAAAATAGAAAGTAATAATACAAGTAATAATAAATTTAATAATAAAATAATATATATATTAATGATAACAATAATAGAGTGAACATAAATATAACAATACTAATACTATAACTACTACTACAAATAATAATATTAATAAATAGTTAGGCATATTAATAGTATTAGTATAATAGGTATCATAAATATTATTATTATTATTATTATTACATTTGTCTACCAAATACAAAATAATCATAAAAGTAATAATATAACAATAACAATTAATAACAATAAAATAACAAAAATAATTGTAACAATACTTCTACTATAACTAATACGGTACTACAAATAATAATATTAAATGTTTTTTACAATGTTTTAAATAATTTTTAATATTTATTTTACACTTTTAATGTTTGTTGTTCCATTGTGTTACCCTGTGTTTTATGTTAAATTATTATTATCATTACTAATATTACTATTATTATTGCTATTCCTTTTATTGTTTTGAATAAAGATGCTATTGGTCCCATAGCGTCTCCATAGCTAAACAAATGAAACCATGCAAAACATGTTTTTAGGTGTTTTTTTACATTCGCCACAAAATAGAAAATAACAATAAAAGTAATAATAAAATTTAATAATAAAATAATAATATTAATAACAATAATAAAATAATAATAAATATAACAATACTAATACTATAACTACTACAAATAATAATATTAATAAATAGTTAGGCAATATTAATAATATTAGTATAACAGGTATCATAAATATTGTTATTATTATTACATTTGTCTATCAAATACAAAATAATGATAAAAGTAATAATATAACAATAACAATACCAATTAATAACAATAAAATAACAAAAATAACTGTAACAATACTTCTACTATAACTAATACCGGTACTACAAATAATAATATTAATTGTTTTTTACAATGTTTTAAATAGTTTTTAATATTTATTTTACACTTTTAATGTTTGTTGTTCCATTGTGTTACCCTGCATACGCTTGATAAAACCATGACCTGGGTTTTATGTTAAATTATTATTATTATATTAATTACTATTATTACTAGTATTATTGGTATTCCTTTTATTGTTTTGAATAAAGACTGATTCGATGATAGGCATATTCTGTGTATTAGTAGGACCTATAATAAATACAGTCGAGTCCGCCAAAGTCGACTCCGTTTAAGTCGAAAATTGGCGTCAGTCGAATTTTTGAAAAAGTCCCAATTCTTTCCTATGTATTACTGTGTAAATTGTTTGTTTAATTCGAATTTTTTATAAGTCGAATTTCGGCTATATCGACGGAATTTTCTTGTCCGGATAGGCCGATTTTAAAGTTATTTCAACCACACAAGTCATGAAGTTCCAAATTTAGTAGCGCACGTGGGAAAAATACACAGCCGTGGGAAAATACGAAGTTCAATCCTTGTTGTACGGCAACAAGTTAGCCATGTCAAACTAACATCTCAGACAGCGCGCTGTGGAACTTGGCTCTCATGATCGTATGTCGTAAGTTGCAGTCTACTCTCACAATACAGACACCCATCCGGACCGGCTCCAGTGTTCAGTTTTTCGTCCAGTTTAGTTTGTAAATCTTGTACTGAACCCATTTCGAACAAGATTGTTGTAGTCAGGGCCTAGCTATTTAATTAATTTATCAAAGCCCTGGATTCTTTTGACTGCCTAGCCTACGCATTCAACACATTATTTAATAATACGTACAGTACCTGTTGTTTTGCTGTACTGCTCAGCAAATTTAATTATTACCAATAAAACTGATGCCACTTTTAAATTGTTTTTGCGTGCATTTCTTTAGGTCTGATTATGTTTTTCCAAGCACACATTCTTCGCTGGACAATGCTTGCTGGTCGGCAGTCTAGTTGTAATAAGAACAAGTCGCCCCCCCCCCCAAAACTCTTCCTGCCCGCCAATTGTTCCATTTTCGTTGGGTGTTTTGCAGACTAGACATGTGCTTCGGCTGTGATGACGTCAGATCGCCCAAAGTTTCATAGTGCGTGACAGTAACAAGCTCGGTGTAATCAAGAATGTTTTAATTGAATAAATTTATAAAACAAAACAAATAAGAAACCCTCATGGTATATTTTAGAGTCAAATCTAAATAAACCTAACAAATTATATTTTATTCTCTACAAATTTCCTCCGTAATTAAATTAGCAACATGTTTTGAAAAGCGTA